TTAATGTATATAAAATAGACCAAACCCGGATATAAGAGAAACCCGGATGTAAGAGAGATTTTCTCTGGTCCCAAATTAGAGCCTGTGTTAATGTATATAAATTAGACCAAACCCGGATATAAGAGAAACCCGGATATAAGAGATTTTTCTGGTCCCAAATTAGAGCCTGTGTTAATGTATATAAAATAGACCAAACCCGGATATAAGAGAAACCCGGATATAAGAGATATTTTCTCTGGTCCCAAATTAGAGCCTGTGTTAATGTATATAAAATAGACCAAACCCGGATATAAGAAAACCCGGATATAAGAGAGATTTCTCTGGTCCCAAATTACAGCCTGTGTTAATGTATATAAAATAGACCAAACCCAGATATAAAGAGAAAGATATAAGAGATATTTTCTCTGGTCCCAAATTACAGCCTGTGTTAATGTATATAAAATAGACCAAACCCGGATATAAGAGAGATTTTCTCTGGTCCCAAATTAGAGCCTGTGTTAATGTATATAAAATAGACCAAACCCGGATATAAGAGAAACCCGGATATAAGAGATTTTCTCTGGTCCCAAATTAGAGCCTGTGTTAATGTATATAAAATAGACCAAACCCGGATATAAGAGAAACCCGGATATAAGAGATATTTTCTCTGGTCCCAAATTAGAGCCTGTGTTAATGTATATAAAATAGACCAAACCCGGATATAAGAGAAACCCGGATATAAGAGATATTTTCTCTGGTCCCAAATTAGAGCCTGTGTTAATGTATATAAAATAGACCAAACCCGGATATAAGAGAAACCCGGATATAAGAGAGATTTTCTCTGGTCCCAAATTAGAGCCTGTGTTAATGTATATAAATAGACCAAACCCGGATATAAGAGAAACCCGGATATAAGAGATATTTTCTCTGGTCCCAAATTAGAGCCTGTGTTATGTATATAAATAGACCAAACCCGGATATAAGAGAAACCCGGATATAAGAGATATTTTCTCTGGTCCCAAATTAGAGCCTGTGTTAATGTATATAAAATAGACCAAACCCGGATATAAGAGAAACCCGGATATAAGAGAGATTTTCTCTGGTCCCAAATTAGAGCCTGTGTTAATGTATATAAAATAGACCAAACCCGGATATAAGAGAAACCCGGATATAAGAGATATTTTCTCTGGTCCCAAATTAGAGCCTGTGTTAATGTATATAAAATAGACCAAACCCGGATATAAGAGACTTCTTCTCCGGTTCCGACAACTCTCTTATATCCGGGTTACACTGTATTTGATAGTAATTAGCCAGTCCTAGAAAAGCTGGTAACGTAGTAACGTTTGTTGGTAGAGGCATATTTTTAATTGCACTCGACGGATCTGGTTGACGACCATTTTTATCAATAATTTGACAAAGGTATTTAATTTTCAGCAAAAACAATTCGCATTTTTCTTCACTGAGTTTGAATCCGTACTGTTTGAGTTATTTTTTTTCAAAATTGTTTTTCCATGCCAAACATGTTCTTTTGATACACTTGATTAAATTGTCATCCAGATATGCCACTACGAAATTGAAATCCGCAAGCATGATATCAATAGCTTGTTGAAAAATAAATGGCGCCACTTTTATATCAAAAGGAAATTGGTTAAACATATATAATCCTCTGTGCATATTTATGGTCGTGAATTCTGAACATTCATTCTCGATATGAATTTGTAAATACGCTTCCGGGAGATCCGGCTTTAAAAGTATTCTTCCGCCGTTTAACTTCGAAAAAGTTTTCTATACTTTGGTTATGTTTCTGAATAACGGTTTAATCCTGTCGAGAAATCTGCGCATGCACGAGTTTTATTTTTTATTTATTTATTTGCTTTACTTACACCGCTGGGGCAGCCTATTTGGAAGGTTCATTTTTTTTTTTTTACATTACACTAATTCTTTCGAGTCTGTCCAATTTCCTCGTTAACTTGCTGCAATGCTGTGAATTGCACGCTCTATTTTGTCTGAAATACTGGCGTCGAACATTTTTAACTTGAAAACCCGCCTTGAATTTTGACCCCTGACCAGTTCATTTAATAGAATATCTGAAAAACATTTTTTTTCAATTCTTCCTTCAGATTTTCGCTCGGACTTTCTTTTTATATTAGTCGCTTGTCTACTTGCGTTTTTGCAATAAACATTTTTCTTTTTTTATTTGCAATCCACCAAAGTTCAAATAGTTCCAGCCAGCCAGTACCGAATAAATTCGTAGCATTTTTTTAATACATCAGCTTTAGTTTTTACATTCAATTACGAAATGATACATTACAAGTCATTCCCCCAGAAACAAATAATTTCTCACCAGGAACTGAAATCGCGACTTTGAAAGTCCTTTTAAATAAAAGACTTCCACATGTTTTTTTTTTTTGTATTATTGAAATAGCACTACCAGTGTTCAGTAGCATTTTTATACCCATATTATTTATATTCATTCATAAATTAATTTCCTTTGGTTTTCTGTGACCATGTGATCCGTCGCCATGTTGTGTACAATTTTCTTGCTGCGGGATTTTTTCTTGGTTTGGTTTTGCTGTGTGACTTCGCCCTTGTTTACCACTCTTGTAAAATTCCACCTTTTTAAATGGACAATCATTTCCAAAATATAATTTACCACATCTGGAACAAGGATTTTTTTTTTCCTTTTTCGACATTTGTCCCTTGCTTGTAACAATGCATATGTTCTGAATTTCTTCAGCACTGTGTTTCATACTTAAAATACTTGACAATCATCCACTATTTCTTGCAATGCTAATATTATAGTTTTGTTTAATTTTCGCTCGTATTTCAGCATCCTTTATAGCTGTTAAACTTTAGAGTCATTTATTTTACTCTAAACTTTTGATATTCTTTGTTGACGATATCAATATACGTGACAAAATCTTCCTCTTTTTTTTTGGTTAGATTCAAAAACCTCCAACGAGGAAATTTTTCTTGAATTTCTTCCCTTATTTTGTCCAGTTGCGAGCAGTATATCCAGAATCAATTGACTGGTTACTTGGCAAAAGCTCATAGCAGAGGATTCCTTTCCAATCCCTCCAGATGCACAATATGACTTTCTTAGGATCAGGAGCTACTTTTGGTGTGGTTAAAGTTGGTTCTTGTCCCTTACTCCTGGGTCTTTTTCGCTGAACATTATTGTAAACGATCCATTTCTCATCCCCCGTCATAATTTGCTTCAAAAAGGGTGCATTTTCATTGCGTTTATACAGTCAATCACAGATAGAAATGCGATCCAAGAGATTCTTTTCATTCAGATCATGTGGTACCCAAATATCTTAGTGATTTTTAGTATCCAAGCTTCAGCAACTGCTCATTAATGGTTGATTTTGATAAATTTAGTGTTTTTACTAATTCCCGCGTTGTGTAATGCGGGTTATTCTCAATCAATGACATGAATTGGTCATCATCTTTCGTGTGTGTGTGGGGGGGGGTCTGCCTGAACGTTCTTTATCAATAAGGCTACAATCACCAACTCTAAAATTAGCTAACCTCTTCCGTACAGTTCTGTCAGGTAAAGCACCTTCACTGTACACAGCACATATCTTTTTTTTTTTTTGTTGCTTGCAAGGCATTTTTGTCTTTACGGTAATAAAAAAGCGTCAAGTGTCTAAAATGCACATTATAATCTTCCATTTTCATGGTGATGCAAAATTAACACGAATTAAATAATTTTAAACTTTCTTTCCCAAGAAATAGTTTGAAGTATGCTCTAATCGGAAATGTAAGCATATTATAGCTGTCGATAAATTTGAGGTGTACTAATGTTTTGGAACATGAGTGACTAAATATCGGCATGAAGTTTCCGGACAACCCAATATTTATATAGCTTTCTATAACTATACACATTTATCATATAGATTTTTCTATTCCTCTGTTGTCAAGATTGGACAAGCAGACATTAAGTGACCGGTAGTTATCGTCGGAATCGACCGTACTCGGTATCATCGAGTCTACACGAATGATCCTGTTCATACCAGAATAGTATGTCCTTTGCCAGGGCTACATAATTATATTGCCCGCATAATCTGCATACTGTGAGTTTTCTTTGTTATATTTATCGATAAAGGCTTTTTTCCTGTGCAGCCATTTTAAATACCTCCATGATTGCTTTTAGGCCTTGATTCGGCAGCCGCTGACGGATTTTCTGTTTATCTAAATCGTTACTTCTCAATGAGTATTAGTTAAATGGGGGTATTTGTTTACAGGTATTGGTTTAGTATTCTTTTATGATTATTGTTGAAGTCGTTCTTTGAATATTTTCCATGCAAACCTATCGTTTCGTCATACCAGTTTAGTAATGTTCTGAGTCGTCATAGCAGAAGGTAATTGTTTTATACCAGGTCCCTTCAGGCTGGGGGCGATCATGACTATTCCCATTTTTTTTATTTGTGAATTGGCATGACTTCTTTGGAAAGAGAGTGGAATAGTTTTTCGTTGATTTCTCTGCGGTTTAGAATACGGGGTAATCCTTCTCTTAGACGTACTACCTGTTAGGGCCCGAGAGCCAAGTGCTATTTAACTTTTAGTTTGGACCGGAGGAAAAGCGGTAGATTCGTATTGTTTGTTTTTTTTTTTGCTTTTTTTTTTTTTTTTTTCTAGGAAATTTGTGCGAAAGTAAACTCTACAGACTAGCATTTGAAATCGGCCGGCCGATTCCACTTTCCGCGTCGATATTAATTACATTATGCATACATCGTAGCTATAGACATAATATTAAATAGACGGCAATACGATCATGAAAAGGGAACTGATTTTAAACTCTCCTATTGCAAACAGAACAAATCTTTCAAGTGAATTAATTGAAAGTCATGCATTTGGAAATACGACTAACTCAGTGCGATATTTAGTATGTTGATTAAGCAGGTCATTGCTACTATACGAAGTTAGACGCTCACTAGGTGTTACGTCATTCAGGCCTTGTGCCTGACTTAGTTTAATCTAAGAGATCTATTCATAACTTGGATTTGGAGGCTTTTTACACCTTGAGAGAGAGAGAGAAAAGTAAAGAGAGAGGGAGAAAAATATCACAATGCGGTAGGCATCTTTCCAGAGAGAGAGAGAAATATCTTATAGTAAATATCGCACTGCGGTAGGTACCTTTCCAGGGAGAGATAGACACAGAGAGAGAAATATCTTATAGTAAATATCGCACTGGGGTAGGTATCTTTCCAAAGAGAGAGAGAGAGAGAGAGAAATATCTCATACTAATTATCGCACGACGATACGCATCTTCCCAGTGAAAAAGATAGAGAGAGAGAGAATGCGTGTGTGTGCGTGTGAAAGAGAGAGATGGAGGGAATTTCCACAAGTTTCTAGTTAATTTTTTTCTTTTTTGAAAATCTTGCATTAATCGGTAAAATATTTTTTATATTTTGGCCGGTGTTCAAGCCTAGTAAAAGGCAATGATATTGAATGACTCTATCTTTGGGTAGAGAGGCAGGTAGTAACTCCTCCTTTCTTAAATTAGTGTAACACAAACCTCCACCTCCATACGCTAAATACTGTATCAGTTATCAGTGCCAACGTTAGCAAATGCTGACAGCAAGTGCAAGTTATTAAGAAGAAAGCATTTTGAGTTTGTTTAGCTCAGATTACGTACTGACACAATATGTCATGACTGTCACGCTTCTGTTGGAAGTGCTAACTTTACCTCGATTCGAACTCAAGTCCGAAAACTGTTGCAGATGTTTCAAGCAAGACAGGCACAAAAGGAAAAATGCCAAGGAGAATAAGGAGCAGATGTTGGATCTGGAAAAAACCAAAATCTTCTAATAAGCAAAACTGAGCCAGAAGGACAACAAAGCAAGATGATCTTAACGAGGAAGACGGAAACACAATAAGGGAAGAGGAGAAATAAAATGAAGAAGAATAGAGAGAGAGAGAGAGAGAGAGTGAGAGAGAGAGAGAACATAGAGCGAATAACAACGGCGAAGGAGAGTGAGTGAAAGCGATAAATAAGGAAGAAGTAAGGAGATTCTGTTACATTCAGCATACGTTGTGAGTGTTGAATTCTCCAAGACCTCTTTTCTCATGTCAGACCGAAATTTCAACCATCTTTTTCTGAATGTAAACAACAGTTATTTTTGTTTGTTTTTTTTTTTTTTTTCATCCAATTGCAGGTTGGAGAATAATTCATCACCCACAAGGCCGCGTAAGAGCGATTGAACTCTGTTGAGGTTGGACAGTGAGGATTGGACAGCACTACTCCATTCTTCCTCTGATATGACTCTTGTAAAGACAGAGCATAGCAGCGGAAGTTATATATTTTCTGGAGCGATACAATGGACCGACTATTCTTCCAGCAACTTTAACGATGGTATGAATACACACGTTTCATTTGAGATCGGGAAAAGCTTTAAACCCACTCGTCGTTTGGGGCAAGGAGCCTCTTTGGGAGTATGACCACTCATCAGGATTGGCGCAGATTTAGGGTCTGCTCGGCGGTGATGAAATGTTACTAGTTCAGTTTTAGATCTATCGAATGATATCATCCAGTCTTTTCGCTATTGAGCTGTGACAGGTCAGAGGAGAGATCAGCTGCCAGACACTGGTTATCATTTTATTTGGTCATGCATCCCATGCATTGTGGTTTCATCTGCATATATCTTTACGATGGGTCTGAGGGTGTGTGGGGGGGGGAGCAGAGCGTTGATATAAAAACAGAAAGAGGGTAGGACCGAGGAGCGAGTCTTGAAGGATGCCAGCATTGATCTCATATGACTCAGAGGATTGGCCATTAAATCCGACATTCATTGACCTGACAGGTAAAACTTGCTAACCGGGAGGTCAGTTTCCATTAGTTCTTATATTCTTTAAAAATCCGTTCCTCACGTGACCTGTCGAGGGCATTTTTAGTCGCTTCAATTAAATCAAAAACACTTCTTCTATGGGCCGCGTTCCATCAGGGCATTGGCGACCATGGCTCTCCAAAACTTCCTATTCTTACTAAGTCTCCGGTCCCCCATCGATTCTCACAAGATCGTCAGATAGGTGACTCGTTGCCTTCCCCTATCACTGTTACCCCCCACCAATATACCCTGTGAGTGTTAAATTTTCCAAGCCCTCTTTGGTTATTAAGTGTCCAAGGAATTTCTGCTGTCACTTTCTGACTCTGAGCGTAGGTATTAGGTTGGTGCAAAAATAATGACGCAAGAATGTCGTTTTTTGACGTAGACGTCAAAAAACGACATTATTACGTCATTATTTTTGAACCAACCTAATATTTAAAAATGTTTAAAAGTGATGGAAACTCTTATTATAAAAAAGAAAAAAAAACAATACCTAATCGACATTAGTTATGAAAATGGTCACAAACTACTGGCCATATTTGGAAATTAAGAATATGTCTCCTTTCAGTAACCTTTGAACTGCATTCAAAAGCGATAACACACGGTTTATTATAGTAGTATAATTTTAAAAAAATACTCGACAACGGCTAATAATTTAGTCGAAAGCACTCGGAAGCAACAAAATTATGGATAATTGATACTCTCATTAAGTCCAGAAAACAGAACAATCACACGCCTCCGAGAAATATATAACAAAAATTAAATAAAGGTAATTGCCAGTCTTGTTGTTCAACGACACACACACACGCACGCACGCACGAACGCACGCGCGCGCGCACACACACATACAAACACATATGTTTATGTAGCTAGATAGCAATCCTTCTTTTATACATGTTTCGTTAAAGACAACTGACAGTGTACTACGATTAGGCTTTTTATTCAGTTTTCCTTGTGTTCGTACAGGTGTTTTCTTTTCTGTAAACTAAAGTGTATCTAACTGTCCAAACGTTCTACATATCCAAGCGCTTTCGGCTATTTTTTTACCCATTATCAAGGATGATTTAATTTTTACTTTTAACTGAATTTATGGGTTTTATTATGTATGTATCTAGGCTTATAGGAATGTTTTCATTTCCAAACACGGTCAGTACAATGTGGCCGTGTTCATAGTTAATGCTATTGGCTTTTCTTTTTTATTTACGAGTTCAAATGCTCCTTAAGGAACTGTGTTCCTGATCAAACCAAACTCATAAATAATTATATCGGTCACACTACCTCATGCGACACTGACACCGATTCGAGCACAGCTTCATTATAACATTTAAACACACGCAAAAACCTACCAGACATAATCCGAAACATACTAGTAGAAAATATATAATAAACTCATTCACATGCAAAAAAAATAAGATGAAAAATGATGGAAGCCCTAATAATAAAATAGAACATGCCAACGCTCAATGACATTAACTATGAACACCGCCACAATGTGCTGACCGTGTTTGGAAAAATAAAACATTCCTGTAATTCTAGATACATACATAACACAACCCATTCATTCAGTTAAAAGTAAAAATAAAATCACCTTGATAATGGATAAAAGCACAACCGAAAGTGCTCGTTCATGCAGAACTTTTGGACAGTTTTTGCACACTCTGTGGACAGAAAAGAAAATACTTGTATGAACACAAGAAAAAATAACTAAAAAACTTAATTGCAGTACCTTGTCAGTCGTCTTTAACGAAACAACACACACACACACACACACACACACACACATATATATATATATATATATATATATATATATATATATATACGAGACAATAGAAATCTATTATATATACATATATATAAAAGGAATTTTTTACACCTTAAATCAACATAGTGACCTCTTAAAGCATGAAACGAATAGACAGTGTGCAGTTTGATTCTTATGTCCCACACTTTCTCTCACTGACTCAGTCACTATCTCAATATATATATATATATATATATATATATATATATATATATATATATATATATATATATATATATATATATTCACCCAGGTGCAATTCGTGTGTTTAGAAGAAAAATTCCCACGGTTCTTAGTTTCAGATATGTTAATCTCTCTCTCTCTTTCTCTTTTCTGCTCGCTTTCTCTGTATCACACGACATGCCCAAGTGCGAATAAACTCAAAGATATACGCACATTCAAATTGATAGGAGAAAGAAACTTAACAAGATATAGATTGAAGTTAAAAAAGATATACAAATAGACAGAACGAAAGAAAGTAAGATAGATAGATAGATAGATAGATGTTTTACGTATCAAAAGGTGACTGTGCATTTCGAGTTGGGTGTTTGAGTTCGAGGTCCGACTTACAATTTCGAACTCAGAATTTCAAGTGCCATATTCCTCGTCGAAGCATGAGACTGCATAAAATTTAATTCATAATTTTTGATTCATAAATAATTTCCGTTTGCTTTATCAATTTTATTCTTCAAAAAAATAAAGTACAAATACGCTTTATTCTATTAAATATTGACCATCATTTGCAATGACTTGTTACCAAGCAATTCTTCGATACCTTTTAACTAAAATTACACAGGTTTTGATATATAAAAAAAACTTTTTCGAGGAACTCTTGATGCGAGTTTTCATTAGAAAAAGATCAAAGCATTTTCCAGCGATCCAAAAAAAGGGTACTCATTGTTAGGTCAGATAAATACTGCCCTTGGAGCATAGTGAATTCCCAAGCGGCACAAGGACGAAAGTAGAGGGCAACCACAGAGGATCGAACTCACTACTCAGTCGTAATTATTTTAGCGAGACAAGCTTGCTGAACATTACACCATATCGAGGTGCCCATCGCCCCGAAAGCCTAACAGGATAATTGAGTTCCAAATCTAAGGCACGTTAATATCCACCAAAATCGTTTTTAGCTGCCACCTATAATGAGCAGTTTGAATGATACATTCGTCATTACAGTTGCCTCCCCAAAAGACTTATTTTCTTTTAGCTCATTGACATTATTAACTTAAGTTTATTATATATCTATATAACTTTTTTAATCAATTCACCCAAAGCAAGGCAATAAAGCCACTAAAACGCTAGGTGGTTAAGGAATATGAGAACTAAAGACACTATTAAGGAGAGAAGAGAAATTTTATGAAGACAGAAGATAACAATTGGCATTGTATTTAAATTTTTGAAGATCGAAGTAGGGTTTCCTTCTGTTTCCCCCTTGCGCACAACATCTCCTGTGTGTGTCACATTTTCCAAGCTTTCTTTTCTCATTAACTGTCCCGATTTCAATTTTTTTTTATTCTAAGTATAAATTTTAGAGTTATGAGTTTTTATTCCTATATTGGTTGGTTGATTGATTTTTTTAGTGGCATATCAACCACTATGGGTTATTTAATATCGAAATATTTTGAACCCAATTTTATGGCTTCATCTAAATATATTTTGAACGCAATTGTATGCTTTTAAAAGAAGATAAAATGTATTGGTGTTTTTTTCTTTTTTTTTTTTTTTTTGCTATAAAATGTATTTGATTGGTAAATACGATAATACCTATTTGCCTATGTTAAGTAGAAGAGAAATAAAGTGTAAAGAGACAAGCGGAAGTTGGCTACTGATCACGTGTCGTAGGACAACAAAACACAACACAACACCACACAACGCAGCAGTATATTTTTTACTATAAATATGCATTATTGGTTTGGACGGGTCCTACTACCATCAATTATCTTTATTTGCTTTGTTTTGATATGTAGTTTCTTTTGGGGTTCATCCCCTTCCCTCTCATTGTAAATCATCAGATTTTTATGTATAAATTTTTATATTCATCAAATTGTTATGTCACATTGGTGCGTTTTGTAGGTCCCACTGAGAGAATGCATTATTATGGTACATGGTGGATTGATTGGTGACGGGTGAGTTATTTTGGTGAATGTGCAAATTTTAATGAGTAAATAGGTCATGAATCGTATTAGCTAAGTATAAGCTAGTCAGTGAAGACCAACCTCAACCCATTCCCCCTTTCCGGCCTTGTGTCATAATCGTATATTTGTATACAATAAATATCAATATGCATTGTTGGTAATTTTTTATATAAAAAATTATTGCTGGTATTTTTACTATAAAAATGTATTTTTATACTTTCATAGTGTCTTACTTTTTATTTGTTTGTTTGGGGTTTACTATAGGGTTAGGGTGAACCTAGGAACAACAGTAATTAAGAGGTAGTTCAAGACTCGTCAAAACCTCCAATCCCCCAATCAGAGGCCTTGCTGCCGGATGTAGTTTATCGTCATACCCAGGACAAATATTCATATCTTCAAATGTATATAAATTACATGTTTCACGCAATATATATATATATATATATATATATATATATATATATATATATATATATATATATATATATATACATTTTTGATTTGCCAATACTCAAATCAATCTAGAGGAAAAAAAGGTTTTAAAAAAAGAAAGAGCTACAAACATGAAAGTCAGTCGAAAAAAATCACACAGATGCAGGTTTGAAGCCCAAAGAAAAAAACCCGATACGAGTAAACAACTAACTAACAAAAGAGCTCAATACAAGCGTAGAGCAGACCTAGATAAACCTAGTGAGCCAGACAAACCTACCTAGGTTTCACCTAAACGGATCGTCAGGGAAAGTCGGCTAAAGAGGCAAAGGGAAACGCAAACTTTCCCTGACGATCCGTTTAGGTGAAACCTAGGTAGGCTTGTCTGGCTCACTAGGTTTATCTATCTATCTATCTATCTATCTATCTATCTATCTATCTATCTATCTATCTCTCTCTATCTATCTATCTATATATATATATATATATATATATAAGAAGTTTCAAAATAACGGCATCCCTAAAAGTAGTCTTAATGAAGCAATAGCAAAAATTGTTTAATGTGCACTTATTTACTCCTATTTTAATCATTTCACTCCAAGCAAGTTCACTAAGCCACTAAGACGCAAGGGATGACTGAATGTAAAAGAATATGAGAAAAAGAAAATATTATTAAGAAGCGAGAACAATAAAAGAAGAGGAATAAAAGCAAAATGCCGGCAAAGCGCTCCACAAGTAAGAAGTGCGACCGAATAAACTGTTAGCAAAGAACTTATGGTTATATCTCGATATTTTAACAGAAAAATGATAAAACCTTTATGTCAATTTAGTAGTACACTTACATTCATAAAGTCTTGATGTGGTATTGTTTTCCGTTGAAGCGGTAAAACGGAAGAACTTTTTATTAAAACAAAAGAAAGTATTGCGAGAGACATTGAAATGAGAAGGGTTAATACCAAAAATCAGTGGGAAGAATTGAGGACTTAATTCACACACAAAAACGACTTGAATTTTATGTCGAGCAGTTTGAATAATGGATAAATGATTCAGACTTAGGGGGGGGGCAATGGTGATTGACACCCAGCTGAAAATGCAAGCTGTAAAGCGAAAATTTCATTTTTCATAAACAACGAATTTGAAATTGATTCCCCTGATCGAAAGCTGAGTTGAAATACCAGAAGGGGGTGGATAAGCCACCCACGCACACTGAGGAGATTTAGTGAAATGTAGTAATATGAGAGGGTGCAAGAAGGGAATTCCCCAGAATTATCGAATTCTCTTCAGTTTGAGCGAATGTCAATAAATACGAATGCGCGAAGCTGATTAGTGAGTAGAAGAGAGAAGAGAGCCAGAAGTGACGGAGACAGAAGAGAGACGGCAGAGAGTTCGTCCTAGCCACCGGTTGTGATACCCCCACATGGTTGCGTGCCAAAGAGAACCCTCCGTCTTCAGCCTTGTGCCTAACTTTATCAAAACAGCAACCCAAGTCGACAGCAATATCACTTCCGATTTAGACGCGGGTTAGGCTGATAATTAATTGCATGCGAACTCTGATATAACAAATTATTGCACGAAGGATTGAGATAAAAGCAGGATTTGTTCAATTTATTAGAGTTTTTTTTTTTTTTTTTTTTTTCAGTATATCTTCTCTCTGCTTGGACCGAAGCGTTTTTTATCAATCAACCGCAGTGCTGGAAGTCTTGGACGACCGGAGAGGATGTTGTACAATTTCATTTGTACCAAATATATTTTATCTGTAGTTGTAGTTGCTCATCAGAACAATTGCCATGAAAATGTTTATAGAAAAACCACAGCGAACTTACTTTACAGCATATGTGCTGATTCCTTAAGTTTACGAATTTTCCAATGGTGTTCTTTGTCTATGATCTCAAACTGATCCCACAGAGGGCGGTGATCTCCCTTCTCTATCCTTCTCTCTCCCGAGTAAGACCCCCCATTGAGGAGAACATGACTAAAGACTATGTGTACGCTGTCCCGTGCAGCTGCGGAAAGAAATATAAAGGGGAGACAGGCCGCCCCCTTAAGGTAAGGATTCAAGAACACCAGAAAGCTGTAACACGAGGGGAAGTGGAAAAATTAGGCGTGGCTGACCACATATGGAGAGAGAAACGAGATCACCGCCCTCTGCGGGATCAGGTTGAGATCACAGACAAAGAACACCATTGGAAAATTCGTAAACTTAAGGAATCATCACATATGCTAGGCCACAAAAATCTCCTGAGCCGAACAAGCATAGAAAGAAATACAATATGTGAACCAGTAATAAGGAGTGCCAGAGAAAAGCGATAATAACAAAAAAATTGCAATATGAGCTCTGGTAAAAACATGCAGTGATCACAGCAAAAATTGCAATATGAGCACTGGTAAAAAAATGTTTTCTGAAGACATTAGGTTTATAATACTCAGAAATTCAGACACAGATGTCCTCAAGGACACATGGCACAGTGGATAAAAGCGTTGGTTAGATCCAAAGAGTGTGAGTTCAATACCCGGTTAAGACAGTGGAGAACTTTCAGAGGGAAATTAATAGTGGATAACTGACATCCATTAAACATGGCACGTGGAACTAAAAAATAGAGAAATAAAGGGTTCAGTTCGAACGTACAACAGCCGAAAAATTGTAATAAATATGGCGACAAAGATGAAGAGAATAGTCCGAATAATGTACATAATACATCATCTCAGAAATATAGACAGATACCAGATCACATGTTATATCAATATTCAATGCTTAGCCAACGAATTTTCTTAGTTTAACATTTTTTTTTCCAAACATCAAGATGGGATAACGTTCCTACCTGGAAAGCAGCATTCAAAATTTAGAAAGAAAGAAAGAAAGAAAGAAAGAAAGAAAGAAAAAATAATAAATGAGAGACAAAGAAATAAAGACAAACAGAAAGAAAGAAAGAAAGAAAGAATAAATGACAGACAAAGAAAGAGAGAAAGAAA